TACCAAAGGCACTAAGGGAAATATAAGTAAAAACCATTATTTACAAGTAAAGACATCAAAAGTCTGTCCTTTCCCCTGTCTGTCTCCTTAGTCTTCTATCAAGGAGAAAACTAGCACAGACAAGTTGATAAGCCCGTGAGCGCAGCTGAGCAGCAACAAGGCAATCTACTCAAAGTAAATGGGTTAAAACCAGTTGAGTTGACTGCAACTCAAGCCATGCCCATGTTTTTCAGATGAGAACTGTGCTCCACAGAGTTTCCACAGTTGTGCCCTTTCAGAAGCAGGTCACTAGGCTTTTCTCCAGAGGCACCTCTGGGCCGGTTTGAGCCTTCAACCTTTTGATTATAAACAAGTGCTTAACAGTCTATACCACCCAGGGACCTAAGTCATGATTGTTGCTGATCAAGTCCTAACAGAGACTGCTCTCCCTGTTTTATTGCCAAGTGTCTCTTGAGGAAAGGGTGGGCTGCTATCAATAGATTTAGTAGACTTTGCTCTTTTCAAATCTAAAGCTTGATGTCTGCAACTAAGGCCTTTCAGTATTTCCAAGTTTACCAACTTTAGAAAACAGAAAATACAAGGTCACCTCAGTAATGATCATAGTCTGGGCTTGAGATGAAGGTTTTCCTTGCCCCACTTTGGCAGAACAAACTTAAAAGAACAACTTATAAGCCAAAGCAGCTAACTTATAAATAAAATCTCTTATCATAAAATGGCAAAGTAGGCTTTTTCAAATCTGAGGATTACGTAGCATCTGACTTTATTTCTAATGAAAGTGATAGGAACAAGAGATTTAAATGTCATGATTTAACAGTGAGTTGGCCTATTTGGTATTTAACAAAAGAACTACTTGACAAATCCAAATGTGTCTCAGACTTGTGTGTGAAGTATCTAATCCATCACGATTCTAGATTCCTGCTGGATCCCTGTAGCATGGGATTATTACCTAAATCCTGGCTCTCACATTCTGGTAAAGTGATACCCCAAAAGTATTCTATCCCTTGTTCTCTCAGTTTTTGAAAAACAAAATTTAAGACATATTTTTCAAGTTTTAATGAAAGAACTGTACTGCACAGCCAGTCAACTAACCTATTATGAAATAAGGACAAGGTAATGATTACTGGAGATAACCATTACAAAGAGCACAGAAAGAGTAATTTCCAGTTAAGAAGTCATTACTTAACAATATATATGGAAGGAGACAGCATCATCGTGAAGAGTCCAAATCATTAACAAAAAATAAGAAAGATATAAAACAAAAAACAAACTCACTGCTGTCGAGTCATTTCCAACTCACAGTGACCCCTCCTTGGATTTCTGAGGCGGTATCTCTACAGAAGTCGATTGCCTAATCTTCGTTCTGAGGAGTGGCTGGTGGGTTTGAACTGCCAGACTTCTGGTTAGCAGTCAAATGCCTTAGGCACTACAGTGCCTACGATTTTATATATTGAGACCAAGTGGTGTAGTGGTTAAGTGTTCAAACCCACCAGTGTGCCACAGGACAAAGATGGGCAGTCAGCTTCCTTAAAGATTTACAGTCTTGGAAAACTCTATAGGACAGCTCTACTCTGTCCTATCGGGTTGCTATGAGTCGCAATCAACTCAACAGCCATGGGTTTGGTTTGATATGATTTTATATAAGGTAAGATTTAATTAGCTCTTCATTAGGGAATTTGTGTCTTTGTGAAATTAGTGGAAGATACAAAATTGTTCTCATTCATCAAAAAGACTGAGGTTCAGATTATGTTTTTCTATTACTTTTGACAAGTTGTTTTAATCCATATTCATTTCTTATATTCTCACTACTACAATTTATCAACTGCTCTGGCAGAACATGTTGTAAAAGGGGAAATTCCAGAAGAATGTAACTTTCTGTATTAAAAAATAACATAAATCTATTCTGAAAGGGCCTGAAATAATAGTAAAGATGATAAAAAGCTGAAAATGAACTGCTTGTTCTTCTCATTATTTAAAAATGACTTCTGTAATTTCCAAAGAAACACACTCACTAATTTCATCACTGCCAACCCATACAAAAGATAAAGCTACACTGAGTCATTATGAATCAGGCATGTATGTTATCCAATCAAAACAATGTTCATTTCTCTAATACCTTTTACCTTATTCTCCATTACAGAAATACTGCTTCTTCATTCAATGACAAATACAATCTAGAAGGCATTAGCACACAATGAAATTATGGAATAATAATCTCACGTGTATTGAGTGCTTACTATTTGCCACGCACTGAATTAAACAATCCTATGACGTAAAACTAGTGATATTTCCATTTTACAGATAAGGAAACTAAGCCTTAGTAAAATTAAGTGGACAAACACCAGTTAAGTGGTAAAACCAGATGACATGATATACTTGAGGTAATCATAATTAGAGATGCGACTGATTTATCTCCAAAGCTAGAAATGCATTCTTGGTCAGATACCATGGAGAGATCTGGTCTTACCCTATTTCATATAATAGTATCAGGATCCTTCAATCCTATGGAGTTGGACCTGACTCATAGCGACCCGAGGCAGTATCACTACGGAAGCAGATTGCCCAACCTTCCTTCCCAGGAGTGGCTGGTGGGGTTTAACTGCCAGCCTTCTGGTCAGTAGTCAAGTGCTTTAGGCACTGCACTACCAGAGCTCCCTTCAATCAGTAAGGGTTAGTAATCATTGCATATGGTCGACACCTTTAGGCAGGTTCATGCAAATGGATACTTACATTATAAGAACCAAACTCAAATGGATAATGGAGATAAAGAAGTGTGATATGACAGGACATTATTAGTTTCAGGAAAATATGAAAAAATTCCATGATTCTCAAGGGAGGTACCAGAGACATATGCCTTTTTGTGTGTATGCTGGGACAATTCATTCTTTGTTGTACAATGCTGTTGGTGCATTGTGATACATTTAACAGACTCACTACTAGAAGTGTCCTCCCAATCCTTATGACTACTTAATATACCCCTTCACCATTTCTGCTGTCCGTGACTGGGAATCATTAATTGTTGGATAAAAATATCGGCAAGCAGTAACTAACATTGCTTGAGTGAGCGTCATGTGCCAGGTAAGAGTTACCATACCCTGTACTCTACTGAGTGCATTCTCCTAAATTAATTTAATCTTTATAACCCTGTGTGGGGTAACTTTATTTTATCCCCATTTTATAGGTACAGACCCTAAGGTTCAGAGAAAGGTTAAGTAATTTACCCAAGAAAACAGCCAATTTTGAAACCAACAGTCTGGATCCACAGCTACACTACTCTGGGTTGGTCTTTTAAGGCACAATGTTGTGGGTATGCATAACTTTCTTTCCTTACACAGGTTCATTCAAAAAATATAAAGTTCTGTAAAGAACCACGATGAGTGTGCATGTTTTGATCCAGGGATATACTAGTTTCCTGGTTTGGGAATGGGGTGGGTAGGGCACACATTTAATGATGTGTATTAGAACTAGATGATGTAGGTGTCAAGGGGTGGGCTGACATGAGATCAGAAACAAACGGTGCCCGACTACCATTACTGAATGTTTTGATCAGGGTCCCAGTGGATGGATATTGATCAAAAAGAGGAAATCAGACTTACTGGTCACATTAAGACTGAAAGCTATAGCCTGGAAATAACTTTGAACCTTGAGCCAAAACTATCTCATGAAGTCATCTTTAAAGAACAATTTAGCTCAATAAATAATGTCTGTCTTGAGCACTGCACCAAGAATTACATATATATGATTGAAACGGCAACAATCACTCCAGAACGTGGATGAGAACTTTTAAGGGACAGAGAGTTTAAGTTAATAAAGTTAATGGTGGTAAAACAGTATGGACAGAGATAGGGAGAAGAGTGACACAATGTAAAGAACGTAACCATTATTAATGAACCTTACATGTAAAAATGGGTGTGTGTTTGTTGTATATATTTTCATCAAAAGTAAAAAGAGTCAGGCTAGGGAGATCCTATGATCAGCTATATGTATTAGTAGTGCTTTGAGTATGTAAAAGGTTTGTGAGTGTTATTTCTATACACACAGTATATAGTGTTTACCATGTTTCAGGTACTACTATAATTGCTTTACAATATCTCATTTAGCATATAAGTTAGGTGAACAGGACACTGCACTGGCACTGATGGGAGTGCTGGCAAGCTACGTGGTACGGTGTCTTGTAGCAATGTTTGAAAGAGATGGTGATTATCAGGTCCAGCGAAAGGTCAGCTGCAGCGTTGTGTGTCTAGGGCTGCAGTTTGTGTTGTGGTATATAGCTGGGTTATGTTTGAAGATGGGATTATTCTATACTACTTGTGTGTGATGGACCCAGGACTCTCTGTATGTAAAAGGATTGTGCGGTGTGCCACATGTGTATTTTGTGTGCATGGCACGTAGTGCTGAATACTGGAGAACTTCCAGAGGAAGGTCTGGAATGTGCCCCGGGTGAGTGAAGAATTACATATATGTGTTGTGCTGTGGTCTAGAGGCGCTGCTGTTGAGGTATTTTATTTGCATATTACTGTGTATGTGCTGAACGTGGTGCGAACAAGATGATTCACTCGGTGGGCTGGGGTGGGCCGCGGGCTGGAGGGGCTGCAGAAGAGGGCCTGCGTCGTGATGTGTGTGGGGAGCTATGCTGAGTGGATAGGACAGGAGGGGCTCGTGCTCGGTGGCCCGCGTGCGTTAGTGATGTGAGCCGGAAGCGCTGTATGGAAGAGGGTGGTGTTGAGAGGTGTGCAGGGGGAGGCTATGGAGAGGTTAAGGGCGAACGCCTGTCCACATAAGCTGGAGGGAAGGAGGCTGGGGTGTGCAGTGAGACACTCGGTTGTCGCGGAGCTGCGTGGGCGGCAGATCTGCGCGGGCTGCGAGACTGTCTGTGTTCGTGGAGCAGACGGTCTGCTTCCTCAACCCAGAGCCACCTACAGCCACCCTCCCTGCCACCGCTACCCTCCTGCCTCTTCCCCTCGCCCTCGGGCGCGCCCCTCGCGCGGTCTGGTCTGCCTCACCTGGTAAAGGCGAAGTACATGAGGCTGACGATGGTGAAGCTGAGCAGGGTGATGGTGTGCGGCCGGTAGAAGAACTCAATGGTAATGTCCTCCACTTGCTGCTCGTTGATCATGCGGAAATGCATCTTGTAGTTCACATCATCTTTGCTCAGGGTCCTGCTTCCCACGCAGGACGCCATGGCTCGCCTCCCCGTCCTGCCGCGGCGGTGGCGGCCCCGGCCCGGAGGCTGGGACCTCTAAAGTGGGGACCTGCGGCGGAGAAGCAGCCGAGCGGCGGGGCCGGGTCTGGCGCTAAGCAAAAGCTGAGCGCGGAGGGAAGGACAGGCGCGGGAGGGCGGGGTCGCGACGCCGCCAACAAGGCCTCGGGCGGGATGCGTCGCCGGCTGTCCCCAAACTGTCTTTGTGGGAGAGGCATCTCTGGGCATTCATGAAGTCTTCAGATACCTAGTGGATGATATTTGAAGGAAGAAGCAAGAAGGAAAAGGAATGTTGTGGCTCCTGGCCGGCTCGGAGCACCGCACACCGCCCGCACTCCCCCCCCCCGTAGACTCGCAGATGGTCTCGCCCACTCCGGCCACCGCCCACGTGGGCGCCGGAGCGCGGCGGCGCACGGGCCCAGCGGCTGGCCGGCTGGCGTGCTGCGCGTCTGGAGTGGGCGCCGGGTTGGAGGTCCAGGCGGTCGCGACGTGGCGCAGGCCTTGCCACAGGTAAAGCCAGAGCTGTCGGAGTGGAGCAGCGTGCTCCCAATTGAGGTGCGACCCCTTCAGACTCTAGACCCACACGCGTCCAGGCTGCGGCCCTGAACCTCCCTCGAGGCCTTTGGGTTTGCGCGGCCTTGTGGAGGATTGGTTTTGTTTTTTGTTCCCTGGCAGATGTGACGAAAACGCAACCATGCTTGTTTATTAGCGATCTTTGCAGAGGACGCAAAGGAGACCCAGCGTCTAAACTGCCTTCCTGCGCAAGTTCGGTTTTGGAAACTACTATTGGCTCGTTAAAATGTGATCTGGGGAGAACGTGAAACATTATTTGGGAGGCTGTTTATTACAAGCCCCCTTATAATCGACTGGTTTCTTTAATAATAGCTTTTATCATTGTTAGGTGCCACCAAGTAGATTTTGATTCAGCGACCCTATATGACAAAGTAGGACTTGCCCCCATCGGGTTTTTTGACAGTAATCTTTATGATTGCCAAGTCTTTCTCCTGCAGAGCTGCCAAGTGGGTTCCAACCGCCAACCTTTCGATTAGCAGCCACTGCAGAAGTAGAAACCTTGAATCTTCGAAAAAACAGTATGTTTTGGTGCCGTCTTACTTTCAGCAAAGTAGTAGGTACAGTATTAATTGAGAACTAGTATATGATACTGAAGGAGCTCTGGCGGTGTAGTGGATAAGGCATTTGCCTGTTAACCGGAAGGCCAGGGTTCAAACCACCAGCCCCTCCAAGAAGATGGGGTGATCTACTTCGGTAAAGATTTACATCCTCGGTAACTCAATAGGGGTCTCTATGAGTCTGAATCCATTCGATGGCAGCAAGTTTGGAGTTTGGTTTATATGATGCCTTAATGGACTTCAAAGTTCTTTAAATGTTTTTTTCTTTAATCTTCCTGGTGAAAAAGTCATAAGACTTGTTTCCATGACTATGCAAGGCTTTTGTATACATCTGCAGATGGCTTTGCTCTCTTTTGAAAACTGTGTAGACACGTGAGTTAACCTTAGTTGCTGTTGGCATTTCCATTCAGCACACAGTGAAGCAGTTAAGAGGCTTTGTGCTGTGGGGAAAGGGCGCCAGGAGGGTGGATCCACAGACCCAGCGCTACTCAGGTAAACGAACAATTAATTATTAAGGTGTATAAGCAGCAATAAAACGATGATGAACACAAGATAGCATACTTGGAAATTGAAACAGCATAGACAGTTGTATGCACAATATTTGGATGAAATGAAAAAAACAGTTTTACCTGCCTGGTATAAGGAACGGTGTTCACTTGAATTTGGAAAGGTTTTAGGAGCCCTGGTTAGCTCATCTGCAAACTAAAAGGTTGGTGGTTCCAACCTACCAGCCATTCCAGAGACAAAGAGGAGGCATTCTGCTTTTGTAAAGGTGACAGATTTGATCATTGCTGGGAAATTGTTTTTCTGATAACTTGTGTCTTTGATTTACAATTTTAAACAAAATGTTAAACAAATACTCCAGTCTTCTAGGATTCTACACATAGTACAGTACATAGTAGTCCAGAGAACTGAATTTAAAGGAATTGCAAAATCACACATTTATTCTCAGTGCAGTCCCATTTCTACACACACACACTTACTTAAGGAACCCACAGTTTGAAGATCTAATGGTGTTGGAATAATTGAACATCCACATGCCAGAGGAGGGGGGGAAAAAAAGAAACTTGACTTTTATCTTCTACCATACATCCCCTGTGGGGCAGTTCTACTCTATCCTGTAGGGTCACAATGAGTCAGAATTGATGGCAGTGGGTTTGGAGTGAATTCAGGATTTCAGGAGTCAAAAAATGTTAGAGGTGACAAGGACTGTAGGAATCATCTTAATGTCCCCATAATTAAAAAAAAAAAAAAAAAGAAATTACAGAATGGTTATTAAGCCCCCATCCTGGGCCAGATTTTGTGCTAGACCACCACTAGAAACTCAGGACTTCTGGCTTCCGATTTAGTGGCCTTAGAACTTTGCTGTGTAGAGAATGAATGTAGGTTTGAGAGAAAACTTGACAGATTTGAATGCTCACTTCCTACCAAAATGTAACAAGAAATCACGTGTCCCACAAGGTTATTGTGAATACATATTCCCTTTCTAAAATCTTGTCAGAATTTAGTGAGATTTTCATTCTTAGAAATCTCTTTCAGCAAATCTCCCTAAACTACAACTCTCAAAGAACAGGCTAATCCCTCAAATAATTGGTCAATTTAATTCAGAGCATAAAGTAGGCTGAATTCCACCAGGTAGGAAAACAAAACAAGTTATATGCAAAAATTAATTAAACAAAATTCATTTGTATTTGGTTGTAAAATCAATGATAATACTAGCTAATGTTTGTTGAGCATTTGCCATATGCTAGACTCCACTATATGTTGTATATGGATTATTTTTCTAATGTAAAATCTATACATCATATTTATTCTTCTAATTAGGTTGGGCTGAATATAAAATTCCTTCATATTCATGTACCTTAAAGCAGTGACAAACTTTCCTGAGAAACATCTTTAAAAACAGCTGCTCTCAATCAGAATATGCATATATTCATTTCCAGTGCTTATGTATTTCTGTCTTCATTTTGCTTGCTGGTCTGACCTTTTCTCTTTGAAGGCTTTTCTTTTTTTCCTCTGATGATACAGCATTTGACAAAACTAGTTTTGTTCAATTAGGAACAGCTTTTTTTATGAAATAATCAAATGTTCAGCACTGAGGATGAAGTAAGAAACAGCCTTTACTGTTCTATACAGCAATGAAAATATTTGGATAAATCATTGAAGACATTGTGGATTTCTTTCTGGTTTTATTGTGTGACTAATTTATAGTACACAAAATGCATTTGAATGATGTTATTTTGATCAACATCTGCTGCTTAAATGTCCTCCAAACCAAATTTCAAGAACATGTAATTATATCCTTTTAGGTTCTTTAAATGATTTAAAGAGATGATAGGATTCAGCCATAATTTGAACACGTACAGATTTTTGTTTTAAATGCTTTTCCTTATATGGGTGATTTTGCTTTTTGTTTTCAGATTGTAAAGCATATCTCTATTTTTCCAGTTCAGAAGTTGCTGTCTTTTGATGTGTAACTGAGCCTGTCTCGTTTTTTGGCTTTTCCTAGGATTAAGCAGCACCTGCCTACATTAGCATTCTAAACTTACTCAACATCTTTCATTAAGGAAAAAAATAACTTCCGGTGTATTTTTTTTTATTATTATTTGAATACTGTTTTAAATATTTAAGTAAATTAAATTTGTATTCTTTCACAATTATATTTTTCCATTGCAGGCTGCTTTAACAAAAATGACCCTGTCAGCCCAACAGATACCCAGATGGTTCAACTCAGTTAAGTTGAGAAGCTTCGTTAATGCTGCACAACTCAGCAAACATTTTCTGAGACCAAGGAAAACACTGCTGCATGGCTTTCCTGCTCAGCCTCAGACATCCTCTGACAATTGCTTTCTCCGCTGGGGAATTAAGACTTACAGGACTTCCTCCTTATGGAATAGTTCCCAGTCCACTAATTCAAGTAGGCAAGAGAATAGTTGTGCCCAAAGCACTCTGATTCCTTCTGTGAATGAGCAGTTGCAGAGGCCACAGAAGATACCAAGTGCTGATTCTGAGTCATCTGTGGAAGGTAATTCTGAACTTTCAGAAAAGTCTTCTCCCCTCCCCCTTTAGTAGTTTGAACAAAGCTGTTTATCTGTCTATATTTTGTTGACCTATTTCAGGTCATATTTTGTACCAGGCGCCTAAGGCACTTGACTGCTAACCAGAAGGCTGGTGGTTCAAACCCACCAGCCACTCCTCGGAAGGAAGATGGGGCAATCTACTTCCGTAGTGATACTGCCTCGGAAACCCAAGGAGGGGTCATTATGAGTCGGATCCAACTCGACGGTACATAACAACAACAACAAGAGAAAGAACAATGCCAATTCTATTCATTTACTTCTCTTATACCTTTATTTTGCTGGTGAAGAAAAAAATGTGTGGGCTACTATGTATAAAATGTTTGCATTCTAAATACTTTATTATTTAGATTCTTTTGTTGAAAAAAAAGTTTCTGGTGCTATTAGGTTTGTTGTTGTTGTTGTTGTTATGTGCCGTCGAGTCGGCCCCAACTCATAGCGACCCCTCCTTGGGTTTCCAAGGCAGTATCACTACGGAAGTAGGATTGCCCAACCTTCCTTCCGAGGAGTGGCTGGTGGGTTTGAACCGCCAGCCTTCTGGTTAGCAGTCAAGTGCTTTAGCCACTATGCTACCAGAGCTCCTGTTTATTAGGGTATAATTTCCATTCAGTAAATTCAGCCTTTTCATCTTTTCATCTAGGAGTTTTAGGTTGCACATTTAGGTCTATACTTCATTTTGCTCTAATTGCATGTGTGGTAGAAGATATGAGTCAAATTTCTTTTCTTTTTCCCCCTCCTTTGGCATGTGGATGTTCAATTATTCCAACACCATTAAATCTTCAGACTGGGTTCATTAAATAAGTGTGTGTGTGTGTGTGTGTGTGTGTGTGTAGGGATGGGACTACACTGAGAATAAATGTGTGATTTTGCATTTCCTTTACATTCAGTTCTCTAGACTGCTATATACTATATTACGTGTAGAATTCTA